GAATTCTTACATCAAAGTATCGGTAGAGAACAAAATAATACAACATTTCCAATAATTGATAACAGATATTAATATTTCATTATTACAAGAGATGAAACCACCCCAGGGAAGCCGTTCCGCTTTGGTTTAATCCTCAGCAGCCAAACTTACTTCTTTCCGCCTGGGAGAAAGGTCGTTTATAATGAATTTTATATCACTATTCGTATTCATCATTCTAGTACTCAATTTCCCTCCCAGACATCCACTTGCGAATTATCACTATTTACGATCAAGTGATCAAGTTGGTGTTCGCCGCAGAATACATGGGTTCCACCAACTCGTCACTCAAAATACATGGGAGTGAATTTTTGACCAATCAAATAATCCCGTAGTAAATAGCAAAATCGGCTATTTACATCCTGAAACTTATTATAGAAAGTGGAATAAACCTTCCTGATCTAAATTAGAAAATCAACTTTACAAGAATAGTAAAGAGAAATTTTATTGAATGACTGATTGTGGTGCATTACTCTGTCTTTTAATTATTTCAGTTATTAAAATATTAAGAGAAATAAAGTTAATTATATTACCTAATACTTATTATTATAGTTGAATCCAGCAAGACTTTTGTCCGATCAAAAACCCAACAACCTCACGACATCCAAGTTACTTTACTCAATAACTTTGTTGTAACATTAGATAAAAAATACCGCCAGATTGTCTATTGAGATACTGTAATTAAACATGAATGTTCAACGTTCAATGTTCAAAAATCGATAAAGGACTTCTATCAAGAAATGCGACAAAGAAAGAACACGCTTAATAGTAGATAATGCCAAGACAATGAAATTAAATGATATTTCTTTCGCCGAACATAACTGCTCACTTTCAGATATGTTGTGGGGCCTAGAAATTAATATAAACACGAAGTTCCTGACTTTAAATAAACAATATTGATTAGATCGCTTATTTATTATTGGTGTAATATTAAGCACAAAATAATGTAGCTGACGGCATCGTCCAGCTTTGTTGAAAACCGAGCAATTTTTTCAAGCGAGGGAAACTCGCGAGTCTTTATTTAAACACATGAATGAACACTTCAACGGCTACGGAAAGGCTACGTTGCTTAAAGCTTAAATACTGTATTCCATTCGCATACCAATCAGACGACAAGAAATTGTATTTCGACTCGACTTTTGAAGTAATTGAAGCAATTGAAAATAATGCTATAAAGAAATCTGACTATTTCCATCTCAATTTACGCACTCTTACTCTTTTTTCATATACGCTTAATACGCCTTAAAAGTCATTAAATTCACGTGATATCGATAACATCGTCGCCGACTTATCGAGTTCATTATTCAGAGATCTCATCCATAAAGGCTTGCAACTTTCTCGTGTCAAGCGCTAAGTAATAGCGAAGATGTTAGACAATCAGAAAATATAGTTTCAACTTCGATGAATGTGTATCAGGACTATCGCAACTACTGTTCGACCATTCTTCTTGCATAGTGCTTTTAATTGATTGGTTATCAAGGGTTGCTCAAGAACAGTACAGAATGCATTTCAGGAAAACCATGTGAGCTTTGTACGCCTCTACCAGACATCAATGCCTTTTTTGGCAATTTGTTGCTACGGGTTGTGCGTGGGACTCCGTAGTTCTTGTCACTTTCATTCGTATTGTCTGTCGCTCGCATAAAGGTAAGGGCTACCTCTTACTCTTTGCAGAAAATGGCCAATTTCGCCCAGAAAGATAATTCTTTATCCTTATCGATACATGATCTCGAAGGCTGTCACAAAAATAAAACATTGCAGTCCGAGAGGTTCCGGTTAGAGAGCTATTGTGAACAACAGACAAGTCAGCCAAAGGACACACTTTTAAAGCGAAAAAGACGTTTTGCTACTCTAGTTCCGCAACGAACAACAGCGGAGTCTTTTTGGGAAATAACAGATAGCAATAACTACACGGTATCACTGAATAACTCACCTGTACTTTGTAACGCATTCTTTCCGCCGGTGGACAGTTTTTTCAGTTTGTTTAAGAATAGTTTGTTCTTTTGGCGAACCAAGAAACTTTCGCAAAGGACTGCCCCGACTATGGTGCCGAAGAACGATGCTAACTCATTAAGCCTACTGACAACTACAATTAGGTCACTGTCGAGACTTAACACTACAAGCATTACATTCTTCGATTGGAAACCCCACGATTTGAATTTATCACAGAAAGGGCCATCACAAGAATCACTAGATTTGGTTGTATCAGATGAAGAAATGGCAAAAGTAGAATTAATTGGCAGAGAGCCTGACACAGAGCCTGTGCTGGATGAAAACGTTGCTGAACAGGTATTGTGTTTAAAGCTGAAATTTCCAAACCAGTCACGAACGAGTGGCAGCAAGAGACAAGAGAAGGATATAGTTAAATTTGAATGCGGATAAAACCCTATTTTACCGTGAATAGTAATTGCTTATGAATTAATGAATGGCTTAAATATTTGATAGAATACTTGACCTTCTCTTTAATGTATTCTATTATCTTGGAGAGGGTATGTCTCAAATGGCATAACTGTTCGAGATGTTAATAAGTCATAGTTCTTTTCGTTGAAGATAAGGTCATTGTTTTTACTGTGCCACAAATTTTAATCCGATTCCATAGATACGGCAACAACTCCCTCGGATCTCGCGGCTAGCGCCAACGTGGAATCTATTATATAGTCTCGATCAAGACGGCTCTAGCATGGCTACATTGTATCGCAAAGTAAAAGACAAAGGTCCACTAATACTGGCAATCAAGGACGAAGGAGACCAGGTAAAATAATGTGGATGTCCTGGATGTGACTGAAACATGGTCATGCTGCATTTAATGTCTGAGTCTCCATTGCAGGTTTTCGGCGCTTTCGTCACAGATCCATTCAAACCACGTACATCTTTTTATGGCACGGGTGAATGGTACGCTTACATATTTGGATTTATGCAATTACATATCATAGCGTTTATTGATTATTCGAATTCGATAGCTTCTTGTGGAAGTGTATATATGTGGACAAAGAAACACCTACGGTCAGATTCTACCTGTGGAGTGGAAAAAACGAATATTTGATATTTAGCTCCATTGATTATTTGGCTATTGGTGGGGGGTATGTAAATGAATGGCAGGAATGTTCTTAGAGTTTTCGTTCTAATTGAAGGTTTGTATTAATAGAGACGGACGAACTGGCCTGTGGATTGATTCAGGTCTTGAAAGAGGTACCTCTGCTGCATGTGAGACATTTGATAATGAGGTTTTATCCTCAACACCGCAATTTGATTGCTTGGGCCTTGAAATATGGGGATTTAAGAATTGAAGGAAAATCTGAATAGTTATCGGATGAAGACTTGGTGAAATGTATAAAAGTGTATTATGATAATATAATAGCTGGTGAATTTAGTTTGGTAAATCTTGGACATCTCTTGGATGCATATCATCTTTTTTGTATATAATAGATATTGATTTTTTTCGTTCAATATTTGATGCGTTATGTCTTGGTGTGTTCCGTCATGTTTTTACTGGTGTAACGAACGTGGTATTGTTGTTATTCGATTAGACTCTTCCGTGTATGTACGTCGTTGGTTGATGTACTACATTGGGCCAATCCGGAGATCTCGGAGGGTGAGGGTCAAATGTGGGGACGCTGTGTGCTTTGTTGGGCTTAATGTTACAATTAGTCTTCTATCGTATCTACAACTAATTTACTCTTGTTCTCTGACGCTAAACACCATTTACCTCACTCTCCTTTCACTCTCCAACGTTATATACTGTTTACTTAATGCATATAATCTCGCTTTGAGCTGTATACATTTCCGATTTTTAAATATACCACCTACCATCCTTATTTAATACTATATACCTTATTAGCACAATGGGCGTCTGTTTGTCTGCGGAAGAGAAAGCAGCTCGGACACGCAGTTACCAAATTGATAGGCAAATCGAAGAGGATAGCCGGCGATTCAAGAAAGAGTGCAAAATTCTTCTGCTAGGTGAGAATCTCGTTCTGAGAGTATTGGCATGCGGACGCTACAATCAAGTGATGAATTGGGAATGGATGGGTTAACAATAGCATATATATGTCTTGCATAGGCTCAGGAGAATCGGGAAAGTCGACAATCGTTAAGCAAATGAAAATTATACACCAGAATGGCTATACACAAGAAGAACTTCTACTTTACAGGATAACAGTTTATAAGAACCTGATAGATTGTGCACAGGATATCACAAAAGCCCTTCGGAAGTTTCGGCTGGAGCCTAAAAACCCAATGAACAAAGTCCGTAGCAATCATTTAATAATCATATTGCCGATTTATGAGTAAAAACGTATGCTGAACTATTGTTATTCATATTTTTTAGACTAATATCCAGAGTATTTTAGAATATCAAGTTGAATCTGACCCTCACTTTCAGCTGAGTCCCGAAATAGTAGAAGCTATCCACTCCATATGGCAAGACCTTATAATACCCGAAGTTCTTGAAAAGCAAAGTCAATTTTATTTAATGGATTCAGCGCCATAGTGGGTATAATAATGGCTATTAATGTATTATATGCAAGGGATTATTCCGATTTAAAGTGTTAACATTTTGTGCAGTTTTTTTGAGGAAGTACGGCGAATTGGCAGTTCTAATTATATCCCGAATGAGGCTGATGTCTTAAGAGCGCGTACAAAGACTACAGGAATAACAGAGACAAGATTCAATATGGGACAGCTGAGCATACAGTACGTTATCAAATGGGAACACATTAAAGTTATTTAAATTATATAGCTATTACTTATTTTTTACTTTCATGATGCGATTAGCATGTTCGATGTCGGAGGTCAGCGTTCTGAAAGGAAGAAGTGGATCCATTGTTTTGAAGCAGTAACATCCATTATCTTCTGTGTAGCACTCAGCGAATATGATCAAGTATTGCTGGAAGAATCTAACCAGGTACTTCAGGAGGTCTTTGCGTGAGATACATCGTAGTGGCTTCTTTTCGTATTTTTTTCTTATACACTCTCGAATTGCCTCTGTTATTCATCCGATTGTGCATTCGTACTGGCAGAATCGAATGGCAGAGAGTTTAGTACTATTTGAGTCAGTAATAAATAGTCGATGGTTTCTGCGAACATCAATTATATTGTTTCTCAATAAGATTGACTTGTTCCGAGCGAAGCTACCAAGAGTACCACTGGAGAACTATTTCCCAGAATATTCTGGTAAGTGCAGGTAACGCTATTGGTTTTATATAACGGTTTAATTCGATTGTATTCACTAAAATAATATGTAGGCGGGCCAGATATTAATAAAGCTGCTAAGTACATACTATGGCGATTTACACAAACTAACAGGGCGAGACTTAATATATACCCACAGTAAGTGCATTTACAGATGCGTATACAGTGATTACCGACTAAGTTTCTGTCATGCTAATTGGCATCCTCGTGTCTGTCATCGATTTTAGTCTCACACAGGCAACGGATACATCTAATGTAAGTAAAGGCAAACTATTCAAATGGGAGCGTGCTATCTGTTAACTATTCATACTCACGATTATAATTTCATATTCTTATCATACACATATTCATAGATACGGTAAGTATTTCTTGACGAGCTTTTTTTACAGTGGTAGGATTGGTGTTTATTTATTACTTTCTGCCCGATAGGCTCGTCTTTGCGGCTGTTAAGGAAACCATCTTACAGAATGCGTTAAGAGATAGCGGTATCCTGTAGCCGGCCCGTTGCTTGCTCATGGAATAGTTTTAATTGTTCATTCTTTTTTGTTTCTTTTGTTGTAATATGATATTTTTGTATATTTCATGTCCGTAATATGATGGGATACTTTCGTAATAAACGTTTCTACTACAGATGAGCTGGATAGGTTTTTATCGACTAATTAAAGATTTCGCGGTTTTTACGAAAACGCAGATATCAGATAGCTTCACTATAGTTGTATAATGTAGTTATTTAATATAATTAAACTTCGACATTTCATATTCAATTTTATTAACTGTTGTGACACCATCTCCCAATTGGGTATCTCGTGGTAATTACTGCTGGGTCTTGCAGTCCGATACACAAAACTAACTTTCCGTATTCAGGGGGTATATACAAACATAATTGTTCCTCTTTACAGCCTTCTATGTCCCCTCCCGCCTATCTTTTCTCTCGATTAAGACATAGATTATGGCATCGCACCCTTTAGAAATATATGTAAAAGGAACTAAAGTTTGGCTAACAGATGACAAAGACGGCTGGGTTAGTGGGGAGCTGGTAACGAAAGAAGTAAATGGCGAGAAAGTCAAATTAACTTTCAAAACTGAAAGAGGCAAGGTTGTATCTCATCCCAATCAACTCATTCATCATATCATGTGATATATTAAGCGAAACGTAAAGCGTATGCACACAGAAAGACTCTCTTCCAGTACACGGCTTAATCCCCTGCTGATTCACGATATAGATATTTACAAAAGATATGAGTACTAATTAAAGAATTGATTGTATTTCTGTCACAGGAGGTTGATATTAATACTACTACGACCGATGCTAAGCTTCCTCCACTACGTAACCCTCCTATGCTGGAGGCAGTAGACGACTTGACGAGTCTCAGTTATCTCAATGAACCGGCAGGTTTGTAACTCGAATATCATACGTGATCACGTGTATTTGTAAAAATCCACATACTGATCCCCTTGCCACTACATAGTTCTCCATACAATTAGAACCAGATATTATCAACGCACTATTTATACATACTCCGGAATTGTTCTTATTGCTACTAATCCATTTCAGCCAGTATCACTTTACTCGCAAGATGTCATTCAGGCATACTCTGGAAAAAGACCCGGAGAGTTGGAGCCTCATGTATTCGCGATTGCCGAAGATGCCTATCGCTGTATGATTCGTGATCAAGAGAATCAGACAATCGTTGTATCAGGCGAGAGGTAAGCTTGTTATGATTGGCTGCTGTACTCTCATATTAATTTATGGTCGGTAATTATGTGGTTATTGTAGTGGTGCTGGTAAAACACAGAGCGCAAAGTATATCATGCGGTACTTTGCTTCTGTAGATGACAAAGAGAGACCGATTCGGAAGAAAGTTGCCAACAGTGGATCAGGCATGAGCGAAGTGGAGGAGCAGATTCTCGGTAAGGATTCTAAATAATACACAGTATCCATGAACGTGATTTACTAATAAACAAAGTTACATTCAGCTACCAATCCCATTATGGAATCATTTGGTAATGCTAAAACCACAAGAAACGACAACAGTTCTCGATTTGGCAAATATCTTGAAGTCAGTTTTCAATCTCTATTGACAACCATAAATTGTCCAATTTATCGCGAATACATATTTATTTGATTTTGTTTTTATCAGATACAATTCGACAGTTCTACGAATATTATCGGTGCTAAAATTAGGACATACTTACTGGAGCGATCAAGATTAGTCTATCAGCCTGAAGCGGAAAGAAATTATCATATTTTTTATCAGGTGCGCCATGTTATTATATCTGTAGCTGGAAACTGACCATTCTTCGTTTAGTAAATTGCATCGCTTATTTTGCGTTCGTTGATATATTTAGCTCTGTGCTGGGGCACCTCCGTCTGAGAAGAAAAACCTTGATCTTGGCGACCATACACAATTTCATTATCTCCGCCAAGGTGGTCAAGGAGTAATACAGGGTGTTAATGACAAAGAAGAATTCGGAATCACTCAGAAAGCGCTATCAATAGTCGGTATAACTATTGAGACACAATGGCAGATATTCAAACTCTGTGCTGCTCTCTTGCATATTGGAAATATACACATAACTTCTCTGAGAGATAAATCAATGGTCTCAGAATCCGATTCGGCTTTAATTACAGCTACGAAATTGCTGGGTATAAATAGATCAGAATTCGCTAAATGGATTGTCAAGAAACAAATATCTACTCGTAATGAGAAAATTGTTACGGATTTAAATGCGCAGCAGGCCACAGTAGTTAGAGATTCAGTTGCCAAGTATATATACGCCAACTTATTTGATTGGTTGGTGAACGTTGTCAATGAGAGTTTGTCTGGTGAAGAAGTTGCCAAGAATCTTAGTACCTTTATTGGTGTGCTTGATATATACGGATTTGAGCATTTCAAGAAAAACTCTTTTGAACAGTTCTGTATTAACTATGCTAATGAGAAATTACAACAGCAGGTGAGTCCTTAACTTCTGGGAAAATCGTTTCATTTATGTTGTATCTGTCGTTTCTAATCGGCATGTTATTGTTTGTTAGTTTAATCAACATGTCTTCAAATTAGAACAAGAGGTAGGTTATCACAGACTGCATTCCTGGTTA